GTATTCCGTTACAGTAAAGCGTCTTCTACTTATTCTTAGTAAAAGAAATGGCTTTGATTAAGGAATCTGAGTGGCAGAAATATAAACTCTTTCAGTAAATAGTTCTTTTTTTTGTACAACAACATTCATTTAGGAAATTGCACAAGACCTTTAGAGAGATTTAATAAAGCTATTGATTGCATTATGCAGCATGAGGAAAGGGCAAACCCATACTTCGGCTTTTCATTTGTCAAGAATAAAATAAACTGATATTAGTCCATGCTTTCTCTTAATTTGTTGAAATTTTTGTCAAAAAAGTGAAATACCTGGTAGCAAGAAATCTATACCTGAAATCTTGAAGAAAGCCTCTCTGAAGAAATGAATGAAAATAACGTTGTGAGAGGCATGTAGGTAAATTCAAATTATTTTTATAGTGTCATTTTTGTAATAAAAATAGGGATTATAAGGGAAAAACTTGGAGTTCATAACAGTTTATCTCTGTGTGCCTCCTGGTTTTATTAAGGAAAATATATGTGTAAAGATGCTTGACAGAAAATTCTTCTTTCTCACTATATGTTCTCATTTACAAGTTGCAGTGTTTCAGGGCTCAGATTTATTTGGGAGACTTACAACGTATGATAACAGAAAATGTGCAGAAATTGTTCACACATTTAGTTAGGTATTTCCGCCCCCAGTAGGTGCTTTTTATTTTCCACCTTGAGTATTAGAAATTTAATAGTCATATGTTCTGCAGGATCTAGTCCTCAGTTACATTTCAGCCAGCAGCTAAACCAAATACAATTGCAGTATGTAATATTAGTAAGCGTGTTCATGCATGTGGATGTCTGTCTGTCTATGTTCATACACACACTCATATTTGTAAGTATAGTAAGGATGTGTGTCTATTATACCTGTAACCCCATCAGACTTCAAACCAAGGTGGTTAAACACAGTGGAATCACAGTGGTGGAAAAGGTGCTTTGATGTTTGTAAAAGAGTAGGATGATAAAGGAGAGGGGAAGGACCCCCAAATTCAGGGTACCCTGCATGAAAGAGTTGGATATTGTTTTGCATTTAATCCTATTCCGTTCTAACCCCTTTAAAGCAAGAGCGATGTTCCCAGTTGTGTGGTTTGGGGAATTTAATGTTTTTTAAGGGTGCCTAGAAAATACTATAACTGACTTGGGGAAAAGGAAAAATAGTATCATTAGTTCAAATTGCACCAATACAAAGTTCATAGATGAAGTTAAAAAAAAAAATCAAATGTTGATTTGCTTTGTGACCAACTTAGGTGTTAAATTGCTAATTTGTATTTTGCACTATGATGATACTTGCTAATAATGTCAGACAATTATATTTTGATGTAAGTGCACAGAGTTATGATGCCTTAATTAAGCATTTGGAAATAAAAGAAGCTGTTGAACTATGTACAGTTTTTGTAACTTGAAATGTTTTTCATGAGATTCACACAGAAATAGATTTAAAAACATCTAAATGCTATCCTTGTATTCAAATAATTGTACCAGTATACTATGCTAGTGTGAAGTTCCAGCATGTTTTTTTTGTCCTGATGGCGTTTCTGGTGATTTTATTTTAGCTGTATAGTTTTTACTTCTTGGTCATGAATTCAGTCTCTGTGAAGGCCAAGAGGTGGAAACCCTCTATTATTCCAGCAGTACACAGGATTCTCTGCACTGCTGTATCAGGAAATCTCAAGTAACAGTTTTATGATATATGAGGATATTATTCTCTGCAAGCAATAACACACATTTCTATTTCCCCAGCAATATCCACATAATCAACCATTCACAAGTGCTTTACAAAGAATTTAATTAAATAGTGTGCAGAGTAACTGGATGCAGCAAGCACACAAGCTGTTACATATTCAGTAGTTCACGTTTTGGAGCTAGTGCAGAACACTTTTGAGCAGTAGTATGTGTGAATGATATTTCTATCAAAACATGCATCATCACCCTTCCTTTTGTACCTTGCTCCTTAAAAATTACGGTAAAACCTTAACAGATGTCGCCTCCAGGAGCACAGGATACCTTCTTCAGTGGTCTAATGGTGTGATAAGCCGAGGGAAATACCAATTCTCATGTTGAGACTTGAACATCAAACATCGTTCCTCTGAAATCAAATGTTTATGACTCCCCAGAGAAAGATACAGGCTATTGTGTCTTTTACCACAAAACTAGGTGCGTTTGGAATTTTATTTAAAGGTAGTAGAAATTTGTGGAGCAATCAAGACCAACCACTGAAGAATTTCATTTCTAAATTAACGCCAAGACTTGGACATTCAGAGTTTAGACATGGACAAAGAGAAGCAAAAGTTTTCTCATTTTGTGATAATGAGTATGTTCAGAGTCCATTCCGTCAGTCACTGGAGATTAAGGAAGTCTCTTTGGCATTAAAGCGCGGTGCATCAGACCCTGCACTAGGAAAAGAGAGGAGTGTGTTCATATGTTGTAGTATGCTTTGTAATTCATTCAGCTTTATTGGTATGCTCATGTCACCTGCAGGGATTAGCATTCTGGAAACCAACAGGGTTATCTATTACGTTTTGTTTTGTCTGTTCAGAAAAGCCCTTTAAGCATTAGCCAATGCATGAGAGGAGTTTCCAGGCTTGCAGAGCAACGGGGCTGTGTTAGATGAAAGTGATTTAGAATATCCCTCTGCGGTTGTCTACCTGCAAGGCAGTTAGCCGTCCATCAGATTGGAAGGTTTTATTGGTGTGTCAGTGCTATAAAGTATCGGTCTAAACCAGCAGACCAATATCAATGACACAAATAGTGAAAGACAGTCTATAATTAGCCTGTAAAGGTGTTTAGTATGAGATCTCACCCTAGTTTCCCAGTTCCACAGAGTTATTCCAGTTTATTACTGGCTGACACTGACAACATCTGTCCATTATGACTGGCGAGAAAGACCAAAAACTACAAATGAACCCAAAGGAGAGAAACAAAAGGATCAATTAAAAGTAGGGAAGTGGTTTTACTTTCATGATAGTTCTGTTTTGGTGTCACTTTGCTTATTTGAGGGGAATTGCTGAAAAGTTGATTGGTTGTAAATAAGAACAGAGTCTGTCTGTATTCTTCTTCTGAAGATGCCTTTTGGAGGAAAGTTAAATCACTGTAGAAGTTACGGCTTTCTTTACAGAATGGGAGAGATCCCTGTTAATGAAGATTTGCCATTAACTTCAGTGATTTCACCCAGTAGCCTTTGTGTCCTTTTCTTTCATCCTTATCCCTTTTTTATAAAGCAGACAAGAGTGTTTCGTTTTGCATATCATTTATAACAAATAGCAGTTATTCTAAAAAATTAGTACAGTTCGAGCTTCAACTGAAGAAAAAGAAAGCATGTGATTTTGAATTTACTTGCATGTCTAATCTTGAACACCATGTTTTGGATTTTTGCTTTATTTTCTTTAATTAGGCTCTTGTTCTAGTGTCTGCCTTTATATAAAATATTTATTCTTTACCATTTGTAGTATGTCTCTGTTTGCAATTTGGATGTTTTCAGTTTGCTTGTATTTGGAAGTAGCTGCTAGACTCTCCCTGTGCTTCCAGTAGAAGGCTGGTATTTTTATGCTTCTTGCAGCAGGCCCTTTTTGGGAGTGCTGGAATATATCCAAGTCCTCCATTCCTGATATTTCAGTGGCAACTTCCTATGAATCGTGAAGTAGAGCTCCTGCTGTCAGGTTGTTCTCCAAGCCAATTCCGCCACATGTATCAGCAAGCCGAACTTAGGAGATGTGTCAGTGCTGTGATATAATTTAGAGTATTATTTAGAATAAGTAGGTCAGAATTTTTCTTCTTCAGGTTAGGAAGTCAACCCAGAGACCTTTCATCCCACCCGGTGAAATACCACCTAGATATACTTACGTTAACTGCGAATGAACTAGCTTTGGAACCAGAAGTAATACAGCTAAATGAGCGTAACATGGCAGCCAGGCTAATTAATTAAGAAGCCAGGCTAATTAGTTTGACTGGAGGGAGCACCATGCTGATGTGACAGTGTAGCTTCCAAAATTCTGGCTGATTTGTACACAGGTTGCACTGGGCTTCTTGTAGATATGCAAGTTGTTTCTGGGCTCTTTCAGATGTTTTTGCCATGAAGCAGCATTGCATATGGGTTTATTCCTTATGTCAATTTACTGTAATTTTAGATTTATTTCCAGACTGATAGTCAATTTTAGTTCCTTCTCAATTTTCTGCAGTAAGATTTTTCTAACACATGGATAGACATTGTAATATTGTCTTGTTCAGCCCCATGCCACTGAGGGAAATTCCTTGCCCTTCTTTTTTACCTGATGAAGGACCTTCCCATCTTCTTCCTAGTATTTTGTCAGTTACTGGGGACAAAACTGATGTAATACTCCTGAAGTTGTGTATGGCACCATTGTTCCAGCCTGTGGGGCTGAGAGGTGGCTGTCAGCAGTCCTGTTCTCAGAGGATGCATGCGAGCAATAGTGCACGCTGAAAGATGCCTTGTTTTGTAAGAACTGGTGATTCTGAACAGTTTGCCAGCTTTCTGGTTGTTATGAAACAGTATTTCTTCAGTGCTCCCCTTAATGTCAGTCCTTACATGCAGTTTGATGTGTAAGATGTTCATGAAGGAGTCACTTTAATGAAAAGATTAAAAATACTCGTGGTAAAAGTCTGTGTTACTACATTGATCTGGTATAGTAAACATGAGAAGTGGTATCAAACCCAGAAGTAAATCAACAAGGCATTGTAAATAAGCTGGATTCTATATAGAAAACTTCAATTAGAAATACTAAGTACTATGTTACAGCAATAACATGGTAATCATGTGTGAACAGATAGTGGCATAAGATAAAAAATGAATATTTTTATTAATGTTTCCTAAATAACATTACTAGAGGGCTGAAATGAAGTTTTGATTTTTACATGTATGTTATTTAAAATGCTTTCAGTGATCATTTATGGCCTTACTTACAATAGCTCTTCAGCATAGTAGCTTCCACAAGGAGTTAACATATATTTTTCTATTTCTAGATCTGTTAGCTGTGCCTAAGCATCCATATGCTGCTATGGAGAACTGGGGACTGAGTGTGTTTGTGGAGCAAAGGATACTGCTAGATCCAAGCATTTCTTCTATATCGTACCTGCTGGATGTCACCATGGTCATTGTACATGAGCTATGTCATCAGGTATTGAAGGTGTTCAGATATTTGATATTAATGTCAGAAACCATGCATTCCTTTTCAAAACTGAAAATGAATTTGTGTTGTTCACATAGACAGTTGCAGCTTGTATTGTAACTGGAGTCCAAATAATATGGAGATCTGTAAGACACATCACTACAATGCAGAAACTGGGTAGACTCAAAATGGGGATAGAAAACTAGTGGTAACGAACAACTTCCCTATCTTCTGTACGATTATATTCTGTATGTTTGTGTGTGAGTGTGTTGTTGATGCATAGACTAAACACACTGATAACTGTAGAAAGTGATTTATTGCAGAACTATAGCAGATTCATGCTGAGTTTCATGTTCATGTCAAAAAATGTTTTGGCTGAAATCCATTTGGTAGTCATCTCCTGTCACATATACGCGTACTTCCATTTTCTTTTTCTTTTCTTTTTTTTTTTTCATTTGGTATTGACCCTCTGTTCACTAACGGTGGATAATTGAGTCTTTATGTGTACAGAAACTTTTGTATCAATAAGAAAACTTAATAATAAACCCATATTACAATTTATTTTACATTTCTTCCATCTTATCTCAAACTGAACACATTACGAGTGTTTAGTAATATTGAGTTGAATGCAAATGTTATTGAAGAAATTTGCTACAGGGGCAGGAAACCCTTTCTTGCACTCATAAGAGGCATAATCGTAGCCTTCAGGTTAAAATGAATGAAATCCTACTGTGTAATCAGCATGGCTTACATCTGTGACTTTACACAGTATTCGTTAAAAGGCAATGCAAATTCTTAACACTTTCTGCAAATACAAAGTACCATATAAAAGGGAGCCTTTGTAATGGAGTTCTGGTAGATGAACCTGGAAATAATAATGTTTGGTTCGTATTCATGTTTCACATTAAATCTGTCGGTGAATAGGAAGTCCTCAACTACAACATGAAATTTTTATTGAAAGTTATTGCTGGTTTGTTCTCAATATGATCATCTGATTTTGTTATATGCTTTTTATTGTGCAGTACAATAGAGGAGCATACTGTTCAGCTAGAAAAATTACAGTGCCTTAGGTATAAGGTGTGGAAAACACATATTAGGTCATCAAATCCGGGCTCCTATTAGTATTAGATTCTTTCGTGTGGTGCATTTTGTAGTGCTGGGTTCAGTGCTCCTGATTACAGGGTTACACTGCCCCCCTTAAAAACCTTTTGATTAAATCTGTTGGTCAATAACTTTTTCCTAGTGTTCAGCTTAAGTCTTCCTTTTTCTGAAGTCATTCCATTACTTCCAGTTATTCTTTGCACCACTTTAATAATTTTGTCTGCTTCCAAAGCAATTTATATTTCAGATATGGGCAATTATCACATCAGTAACTTGCTAAGTTTGTTTATTTGATTCTCATTGAAACCGAAGCCTTTTTACATTGTTTTGGGAATATCAGAGAATCATGAAATGGGTGAAAACTATATTTTAATTTATTTTAGGGTAGCAATGTGGTCATAGAGTGTTTTTAAGTGACCTTAAAATTGAAAATGAGGTTACTTGGTGTCCATGTTGATAATACTTCCAGTGCTTTTCACTTAATTAAAAGTATCTTCTTCCATTCATGTTGCTGCTGTTTCTGTTTTAGTACCATGCAGACCAGGTCCTTGCTCAGCTGCTTCATGGGATAACTAGACAAGATAGAAAATATTCCAGTGGAAGAAATACTGTTTCTACTTTTTAGATGCAGAATTGAGTCAGAGAGAATATGGATTATTTATCTGCAAATAAAGTTTAAAGGGAGAAACCCTCAAAAAATACGAGCCACAAAACACTGTCTAGCACCTCTGTCACAGTATTGTCTTTATTTAGGCGTTTTTTTCTGCTTTTATTTTACCATACTCAGAAGCCCCTCAAGGAAACTTTAGCTGTGGATCTCATTGAGCAGGAACTGTAAACAAGAGTAGCTTAGCTGAAAATGTATTGAACTGAGACCAGGCTGGGTCCAGTATCTCTTGCATCTGCTACTTAATTGTTAACTATTCACTGCATTTTTCATCCTCTTTTGCTGTGCATCATCTCGCCTGCTAACCTGGGGTGGCACATGAATATTCCTCCCCTTCACTGATTTTTACACATAGGATAACAGAGATTAACCAAAACCACTTCTGGCACAGCCAAAAGTAGAATCCACATCTCCAGTTTTACTTTTTATTTATTGATTTTTTAAAGTTTTGGGTAGGAGGAAAGAGAACTCTGCTAAAATATGTTTTTCTATAATACATTTTTTTTCTTTTTTTTTCAAGAATTGTATCATTGTCCAATTTCCCCTGATTTTAAACCCAGGACTTTACGACTTACAGAACGTGTCTGAGCGTGTAGCAAACTGACTTGTATGAGACCCTTGTTACTTAGAGTAACACAGGATTTGCTTTGCTAATGTTGTTTCCAAGATTAGAAAAAACAGATGAATATTAAGAATTGGGATTGTTACCTGACTGTTTAAAATCAGAATTCCTGAACCTGCTAGGTATTAATGCTTGAGCACAGTGTTCAGGACAGATAGAAAATGAGAGACAGCATTGCACAAGGACAAAGAAATTCTGTGGTTGTCAAAATACAGGTAAAAAGTGTGTAAAGAAGAATTTTATGCCCAATTTCTTCAGAGGTGACTTTGTAATGCTTGGCCAGATATTTATTTGGGGTACATGTTTTAGGAGGGACACATTAAGGTTACACGGGTAGCTTCAGTTTAGTCATTTTGTAGGTTGCTAGTGCTTGATATTCCAGCTTGAGCGTTCATTTAGAACATTTTATGTATTTAATTAAAATATTAATAATTGGAAGAGGGAGTGTTTCAGCATAAAAGCTTCTCCTCCAAGTCCCAAACCACAAATGAGATATTGGTCAAAACACACTATTTCTAGCAGCTTAAGTTGATAGCTCAAAATAATTACCATAATTTATTGAAATAATTCTATTAACGTAGTAATCAGTTTTATTTGCATATCACAGATCAGTCCCACCTACAGCCTTTGAAGAAAGAGGCATTTGAATTTATGCACCATGATTTTTTGTGATAGTTTTCCCACCTGAGCACAGAATTTGGTGTGACAGATTGAGTTAGAGAGGCATGAAAGCAGAAGGAAAATTAAAAATTTCTAAATCAATGTTTTTTAATAATCTGTAAAGAAAGTATATAGGAAAGAGGGTCCTTTCAGTGTGTCTGTAAAATAAGTGCCTTCTGCATGTCAGGCTGAACATAATACCTGAGGGAGATGAGAAATTTATGTAATCAATACATTTCAATTAATTTTTTTTTTCCAAAATGAAAGAACTAATGATCTTTACTCCAGGAAAATAGTGTCTACAGTCAAATACACAAATAAATAAATAAACAATTACTTACATAAATGAAGTACTTAATGTTTTCCTTTCAGACATGTAACACCTAGGAAGATAATAGCACCTTTCTGCTGGAAAATTTGGCTTCATTATTTGCAGTCTCTGGGACTGCTCTGTCTCTGACATTCATAACTATGTCTGATAATATTCAAGACTAGTTAAGCAAATTCCCTACATTTTCATATTGGTATCACATGCTGTTTTAATGCCTGTAAAACACATCTTCCTTTAGGTGGGTAATTAAATGAATACTTTTAATTGTATCATTAATAAATAAACCTGGATAACTCATAAAGGAGTATAAGAAATTCTCTTTTGTGACACCATAAATTAATGTTATTAATTTGTTTGAGTTACAGGAGGATGTATGATGAACTTTTCAACCTTTATTTTTTTAAATCTCTCTCTGAATAGTCATAGCATACCATCACTGTTACTGGTTTCATATTTGTTCAGCAGTCCTCTTGTAATTCAAGAAATAAACTCTGTGGTATTGTGTTTAGTCTGTTTGTCATTAGAAATCATTTAATCAACCTATTCTAATATAAATATAACTTTCATACTCCTCTGGTGGTATGCTACTCTAACAGTTCAAATTGTGAAAAGTGCATTATCTATATGAATGCATTTCGAGTGTTTCTTTGTCTTTTCAGTTAAATGTTCTTAAGAACGGGATCTATTTCTGTTGGTCCTGTAGAGAGTTAATTTACTGATAGCCTTCAGCTAGGTTATGATCGCTGAGCGTCCATTAAGTTTAGTTTCACTTAATGTGTGAATATGAGTTTCGTCAACCTCACCTTTTCTTCCTAAATTCTTAAGTTGGTTGTCAGTGACATTCATTGTCACGTTTCACTTCATTTTTTTCGTTCAAATCCTATTTACTGAACATTGTGTGGCAATCTGGTCATCTCAGTTTATGTAGTCTGTTCTTTGGAGCCCCTGTGTTCACTTCACTATGGATCCTCGTTGCAGCATTGATCCTTCCCTGGCACTATTCTCACTCCACAAAGACATGCACAGAAGCGAGACCTTTCATTCAGGTCCCAGACAAAGCCTTCACATAAGCCAACTGCCATGAAAGCAAACCACTTACTGGCCAACTCTGCTTTCATTCGTTGCCCACTCTCATTACAGTGTCAGCAGCAGCTCCTCTGCTCTGACATGAGTCTCTCCCTCTGGAATACTTATTTGCTGCTCCCTTTCTCTGTATTCTCAGAGCTTACAACTCCATGAAAGCTCAAAATTATCTCTGTTGATTACGAATTAATCTCATGTCTAATCACATTAAGAAATAAACTGGCAGAGAATTTTACTGAAACAAAGTTTTGGTATTTGTTTGGCAAAAAAGATGCTACAGAGAGTACGAAATACGTTTTCATAATAGTGTACATGTTTCTGCTCTTACCACTGGTGTTATGACCATCCAGGTTGCACAGGGCCATTACAATCATTTAAACAGGGTCATCCATCAGCAGAAGAATTAATGACGCCTGATTTCATTTGAATTTTCATCAGATTTCCTCTGTCCTCATTCCTCTTCCAGTGATCATCCCAGCTCTGTCTAAAATCCCTCTGACACACAGATGTCCTGTACCGTGACGGGTTTGTGGCTGTTGATGGCTACTGAGCAGAGTATCTAATGGCCATGTTCTTGTCTTGCCCTCAATTCTCCTCTTTTCAGCTGCTGATCTTCATGCACTTTTGTAGGAGTTTAATTATCTTTGAGATCTCTGTCCTCCTTTCTAAATTAGACTGAAGTTAGTGGGGAAATTCAAGAGCGACCTGGGGAGAATGGGAAAGGCAGTCAGGTCAGGGAGGGTTCCTTTGCATAAACGTAGGTGGCCCATGCCATTTTAGATACCCTCTGCCTCTGGTTGCTGTTTGGGAAGGCTGCAGATCTCCCGTAAGTCCTGTATGAAATTTCCTAGACCTGTGTGGGTAACCTAGCAAGTTCTTTAAGTGGCATCAACTACCTGCTTTTAGGCATCTGAGTCTTACCCACAGAGAGATGGTATGATTGTGTAAAAATGCTTTCCTTAGGAAACCAGCCAATGAATGGAGCAGCAGTAGTATTGTAAACCTTAGTGGGCAGACATCGTGGAGGAAGAAATGCTAAAATTTAGGTCTGGGGTATGGAGACTGTGTTCCGAGTTTTCAAGATTCGCGCTATACGTAGTGAAGTTTCCAGGCAATGAATTAGATTACTCGAGTTAGAAGCCTTTGTCTGTCCATTGTGTATGTTAGTCCCTTAAACCTAGGTGAGCATCTACTTTAGATAACTAAAGTAGACACTGTGAATATTCTCCTCTTTTTCCATGCTTGTTCTTTTCCAATGTTTTACTTCAGTAACTTGTGCATCCTGTAAAGGCTTAATTCATTAGTACATGAAAAAAACAGTTAATGAGTTTCAGTGGGGGGCATATACTACGGTTTTTATTAAAACTTGTGAAGAAGGTGTTCTGTATAAATGACATATATGCAAACATGGTTTCCTAAAGTTTGTTTATTTGAACTTTTTGCAGTGGTTTGGTGACCTTGTGACTCCAGTTTGGTGGGAGGATGTGTGGTTGAAAGAAGGTTTTGCTCACTATTTTGAATTTGTCGGGACAGACTACCTCTACCCAGGGTGGAACATGGTAAGTCAGTTTTATTTTGTTAATTTGGAGACTCCACAGAAAAGTTGCTCTGCTGTTATAGTCTTGCTTTTGTTATAGACAGGGACTGCCGAAAAATACCAAATGATGCATGCAAGTATCAGATGTCCAATGAAGCAAAATCACGAGGTGTGAAATAATTTGACAGCATTCCAAAAGTGTAATCTGCAATTTATTACAAAAGAAATAAGGTCATGTCTATCATAACCCAACATTAAAATAACTGCTGTCTCTCTGCTCAGAAACATTTTGGATTAAAGCAGTTATGATTTAACACGGACCATTTTAAAAAATATTTAGAATATTGAGTTTTATCCACAAACCTGAGATAAATTGGAAAGAAATGTTTGGCTAAAACATACTGTAAAACTGAGCATATGTTTTCTTATGGTATTCTGTTCTCCTCTCCCTAAGTTTACTCTTTTTATCTTCCTGCTATTATTTGGCCAGCTAGCAGTACATACTAAGTTAACATGGCGTAAATGAATTGAGAATCTAGGTTCCAGCATGATTTCCAGCTGTACACAGTTGGACATGCTTTGTCAACTGGTGTGCAAATACCGGAGCTCTCTGTGGACAAACTGGGAAGGCCATGCTGGCACATTCTTTTGGAGTCCTTCTGTTACATCATATCATACCTACTCAGGTCCCAGTTTATATCAACCGCTGTAGTCTAGAAATATTATGCTTATAAGACAAATAAGAGATACGAGACCTCAGGACAAGGAAATTGTGTGTGAGACCATGTTGAAGGTTGCTATATAGATTTTATTGTCCTTTGGAGAAATTTTTCTGTTTGCTATCCTTTTGTGTTTACGCGTTTAATTATGTGGCAAAGTATTTATTATAAATACAGATTGCCTGATAGAGATTTATTGGCGCTTGAACGATTTGCTTAAACTCTTGCATACTAACTTCTGAAATGTTTTTTCCCATTTCTGGGTGATTTATTGAGTGTTCTTATCCCATTAACTTTTGTGTGACATGAAATGAAGATGCTATAATTACGAGTTAAAGCTAATTTTTAAAAATAGTTGTATACAGGTAATCTTGCTTTAGGTATGCTTCTTGTGAAGTTTGATTTCTTTGTAGTATTTTAATTTTTTCTTTCAGGTGTCAATTTTGGTTTATAATTGCATTATGAAAAGGAAAATAAATCTTTATCTGAATTGACATCTGTCTTGCATAGGTAGGCTCGTTGCGTTTACCTGGCTTTGGCTGTATTAAAGCTCATTCTCTTCATCTTTATGAAAAACACATCCTGAATTACAATGTAATGATTCTAATTATGAATGCAATGAAATCTGGCAGGCCTTTATGATTTTAGCATAGTGAAATGTCATAGATGACAACGTTTATACACTGAATTTTATCTTCAAATCATCAGTCATTTGTTCTTCACATAATCAGTTTAACAAATCCAGAATAACTTTGCTTTAGAAGTCATTTGGAATATAGAATATTTGCTTGAGATTTCTGTGGAATGAATATAATGTTCACTGTTATGCAAATGACATGCCCATCACATGAAATCCTGGCATCTTAGCAGAATACAGGCAAAACGAACGGGTTGAACAAGGTATGACAGTTAAACTGGGAAATCAGACATGTGCTGCATAAATTAGAATTAACTACAGTAATATTGCTGTGCCTGAAAAAATAGTCATCTGTCAAGGTTTTCCTTAAATTAAAAAGAAGGTAGACATAAACTTTTCATAAGGCTTTGGATATCATTGGCCTTTGATATAAAAATAACCATACTGACATATTTAAATAATTAGAAAATTGGTGGCAAGATGGAACACTTGATGAGTTAATGCTGCATTCTTTTGCATATTAGGGTAGGAATCAATACTGTGATGTTTCAGCCTTATTACAGAGATTGTAGGAAGAGGAAGGAAAAGTTACAGTTACTGCAATTTGGCTTGCTGGATATTTTTGTTATCGGTATAAAGCGCATTTGCTGTTTAGATCATACTGACATTTGTAAACTTGAAAAAATAAAAAGTGAGCATTTATAAAAAGAAAAGCTATTCCAAAGAACTTTTTTTTTTTCCCCCCCAAAAAATGAGGGATAGAGTACAAGCTTCATGAATCGGTTGCAAAAACAAGAACTACAAACCTTATTTTCTGTAATGATGGCTAAACAGAGCAATATTCCAGCATTCTGGGTGGTGTTTTGTCAGCAGTAATTCATACCTGTGAAATAAAAATAAAAGATGTTATGGTGTATGATACCACAGCTCTTGGCATCAGGAAAACACAGTAATATGCCAAAATCCTCTTTCTAAAGAATTGGGAAAGTTAGACAGTTAACTTCTTTATCTTGTAGTTCTGAAATGTTACCCTTGAAAGTTTCCTCAAGAAAGTCCATGGACTAAAATGTCAAATTCAGCTTATTTTCAGCTTATTAAAGATTTTTTGTCACATTTTCTTTTGGATAAGTGTAGAAGCAGAAGACTGGTATTCAATTCCAGAAAAAGAACTTTTGTCTGGAAATGCAGCTTGGGCAGTATGGATGCATCTGAATCAAATGGATCTATCCACAGCTTCCTACCTAACTTGTTGGATGCTTATAGGCTACGGGCACATAAGCTTTCACCATTAAAGCTCCGTAAGCCCCTGAAGTTTTGCTAGTACTTGTCTGGAGGTGCTTCTCTTATAGCAGCGCTGAACATTTTTCAGTGTCCATCTTATTTAGCATTCACAGACTTGGTATGGCTGGACCTGAGACTCTTGAGGTGAGCTATCCATTAGGCATGCTCACACCATTATAACTTAAACCAACAGCACTGAGTTCTGCACAAAGCAGAGAGCCATGGATTTTGTCTGAAACCTGTTTTCTGGCTTTTCCTTCTTCTTTAGGTTCTTTAGCTTGCTTAAACATTTCTTCTTCCTCTGAGGTTCTTGATTGCATGAGTTTTTCTTCAATTGTTTTATAGGCTTTTCTTTTACTGCAGGAAAGATGGATGGATAACAATATTGACCAAACTGCCATGGAGTTGTAATGCTTTATTGAGCCTTCCAGCAGGTCTAGAATTTCTTGTCGTGTCCAGAAGGTGTTTATATACTTCATCAGGCTTGCATAATCTTGATGAGAAAGGAAATCCAGTCCTTATTAAACCCTTGCCATCCTTATGCCCTGGATCCTCCTATTAAAATTTTGGGTGAAAACCAGAATGAAGAGTCATTCTGATGGAGGTGTCTATTATGCGTTGCAGTTAATATAAAATACATCAGAACTCTCCTGAGGAAGTGGACAAAGTTTTGCTGGTTTTGAAACAGGAAGGTGAGCTTTCTGTGCTGAGATCCTTCATGGTTCCACCACTGGTCTTAATATCCTTTTTAGAATTTAAGCTACTTCAGATCAAAGCTAGAAATTCTCATTTCCGTCCCTCAGCTAAAAAGTAAGTCCCTGCATGTTAATTTTTACATCTTGAAGGTGAAGCTGTCTTTGATTTTGCAAGAAATACTCTACAGTCATTAGACATTTGCCATGGAAATGAATTCACCATTCTTCCCATTTCAGCCTCTTGCCTTGCCTATCCCCCAAATTAAGAGTTTTTTGAAATTCTTGTTCTGAAGTGTCTCAGATTCTTATTCTTAAATCTCATTCCTCGAGGTCCTGGAAGCTTAAACAATTGTTTCTGTGTTGTCAGGGTGGTTTTAAAAAGAAAGCTGTCTCTGCAAACTGTTTCCCCTAGGCATCAGAGAATTTTGCTTGATCATGTGTGCTCAGAGTAGTCATCTGCATGTGAATTCCCTGGCCATAGCTATTTCATGACGTAGAAAGAGATGACGTTTCTGTATTAGAGGCTTACCATATAACTGTTTGGTTGTCTCTCCATGCCATCAAAAAGCAACAGCAGCTGGATGTGAATTCTTAAGCTGTAAGATCTTACGACTGATACAGGGTAATCTCATCTCTGTGGAAGGTGCCTCTGCTAGTTTTAGGATCAGAGAAAAGAGAAAATTACAGCAGAAAACTACATGGTGGTAATTTCCACTTCATAGCCCTGTCTTTTCTCATCTACCCTTCTCACTTTCCTCCTTTCAGAGGCCTGTTTGCAACTATATATTCTATCTTCCTCTCTGCTTGTTTCTCCCATTATCCTGAAGTCCTTTGTATGCGGCTTTGTAAACGAAGGAGTTCAATGGAGACTTACAGATCCAGGAATTTATTGACTGATCTTTTACCTCCTTGTTTTCTGGTAGAAGGAACCATCATGTTTGTCCTTGAATGTCTCTGGTATTGGGGTAGGTTTTGAGGACTATGACAGCAGG